ACCCTCACACCCCAATTTTTCCTATAATTTACTTATTCATCAAATATTTCAAACTTGTGCTTCTAAATTGACTTTTCATTTATTTCATTTTCCTTTATCTATTTAAAAGTATTTCTTTTAATTTACTTATTCATTAAATATTTCAAAAAAAAAAAAAAAAACAAAAAAAAAAAAATTCAAAATTTCCGGGCCGACCCGGAACCGGCCGTGAACCGGCCCGAACCGGCGGGCCGACCCGGCCCGGTGAACCGTGCACGCCACGGGCCGGTTCCGGTTCCGAAAAATGTGAACCGTGAACCGTGAACCGTGAACCGGTCCGAACCGGCCCGTGGCCGTGTCTAATATGGAGTAGGATTTATGAAAGAAAGAAAAAGATTGTTAAAAATGGAAATAGTTATTTGAAGGTGTAGTTTCATATATGGAGTAGGTTTTATCAATGTTTTGAAAACCGGACCGGACATTGAACCGGATAGTCAACTGGGTCACGGTTGGACCGGTTCAACCGAGGTCCAACCGGATTTTTTAATATTTTCTATATTTAATTATTTGTGAATAATTATACTATATTATATCTTTTAAAAATGTATTTGATAATTTGTTTGCATCATTTAACTTCTATTCAAAGAGTTATATATTAATTTATTAACCTTACAGCATAGTAAATAATTTTATTTATATATATATTATATATAATATATATATATATATATATATATATATATATATATTTCTTTATACTTACTTTTAGATTTTCCTATTTTATTTCTGTATTTCACTAATCCCCCTCTTTATAAAAAAAAAAAAAAAGAGAAAAAAAAGACCACACATCAAATTGAAAACATAATTTACCCACCCACCCACCTACCCCAAACATCAGTCATTTTTTATTGCCCATTTTGCTTCCGTCTCTGCGCTGCTGCTTCTTTTCTTCCCCAATCTGCACCACCCATCAAGACATCATTGAAGATCCCAGCCCAACATCTCAAAACATAGCCTGAAGATTAACGCCACTCATGCCCTCTACCTCTTCCAGCGGCTATTTTTGACAAGTTTTCTTTCTTTCTCGTTTTTTTTTCTTCTTTCTCCACCATCTTACTCAGATCTGTAATTGATTTCTCAAAAACCGGTTTCTAGCCGGTTTCCGGGTTAACGGTTCGACCGGCCAAAAAACCGGATTTTATCATTTAACCCGGTTTTTTGCATTTTTCGGTTTTGTAGTGTTAACCGGACCGGACAAGGCAGCGGTTCGCGGTTGAACCGGTCGAACTGGCCGGTCCGGTCCGGGTTTCAAAACAAACCGTTTTATGATAGAAAGAAAAAAATTGTTGATATGTTTGTAATCACGCTTGAGATGAATATAAATTTCTTCTATAGTAATTGATTCTTGATATCTCTTATCAACTGCAAGTGTTTTGTTCACTTTTCAATAACATTTTGAATATCAAATGAATCTATGACTTGTTTTTATTTACTTACCATTTTATATCGTTTCAAATACTACTAACTTTTATAATTATATAATTAATTATTAGAGCATTAAACAATAATTAAGTAATTAAATACCAACAACTATTTACTTAATATGATATTTTAAAAATGGTACTTTTATTTCAACAACAATTGGAGACATATGAAGATGAAACATCATAATAGTAATTAGATAATTAAAACCAAGGCTCAAATTCGCACAATACAAGGCATCATTCCGATTGAGTATCTATCACAGTTCCGGGGAAACCATATCGATCCCTCATCACCAGTACTGCATTCAGATCTTCCTATTTACATGATCTCACCCCTTGTTCTACCGAATACAAAATTATCAAAATGTAAAAAAAAATTCAGAGAAGAAGTCGAAGGAAATAATAGAAGCTACAAAATTTTCAACACCATTGGGGGAAATATATTTTATTCGTCAAGTCAACTGGCGGTAGATGATTCCTTTGACTTATCGGTGACAGTTTCTTTATCTGTATTATCCGTCTCTGTGGTGGTCTGAGTTTGAGTAGGTTGTGTCTGAGTAGGTGCTTGCACATCTGACACGATACCAAGAACCACTAGTGTAGACCTGGAGAAAGAAATTTGAAATCATTTAACTTTTTAAACACGAAAATAATATCTGCCTAACGACCGGTAATAATTTTTTATACCTTGGAAGCGAAGATCTTATGTGTGGTTGGCTTGCGTGGGCAACTAAAGGAGCCCTCAGAGCTTGTGTTCTATTTAATGCATTTTCAAGCTGTGTTGTAGGTAACTGAAACATTACAACAGAAGTTTCAATTACAATAAACTCTAAAAGTAGAATGTTGAAAAGATCCTACGATAAGATATTTACTAGCGAGATTAAAAGAACATTGGGATTCATAAAATAACATTTAAAAATTGACTGCAATGCGAGAAACGCACCTGAAGCAGAACACCAAAAGACTGTGGCTTTGTCAAAAGAGCACACTTCATGAATCCCACCCACAGCTTCGGATTTTTCCATATCTGCATTTCATACATATCACATAAAGTATTATTTTAACCAGCAGAAGCAAGCATTAGCAAGCTATGGTGATGAAGGAATACCTGCTTGCTTACGAGGCGATTAAGAATCTCCATTATGAATTCCACCTGAAAAAAGATCATCTAGAAATTCAGAAGTTCGTGTAGATAAACCTCCTCCCTAGAGAGGAGATCAAAACAAATAATCATCCAACACAAATAAAACTCTACTACATATATCCATGCCGAGAAAATAATCATCTAAAAATTGAAGGCACTATATCATTCAGTTTTGGGATAGGTCACATATGACTTACCAAGGAAGGAAAAGCACCAATGGCTTGCAATACTGTGCGCATAAAAAGCAAGGGAAGAGGAATTTGCTCAACCTGCACAACTATTCAGTTTTAGTGTAAATGAAGACATTAAACTCGGGATTGGGGTATTACAGGTCAATAAAGGTTTTGTCCTACCAATTGATTCAAGACCTTGGCCAGAACTTGCTGAGTAAATATATGTTGCTGTTCAAAACAAGCATTACAAGCATCTGTCACCTGCTCAAAGATGATTTTTTCAGTGAAAAAGTAAATCCAAAATAATTAAGTAATATAGGAATTATAATTATACCTTTTTCAAGGGAATTCCGTCTCTGTCAGGATCAATCCCATGGATAGCAATTAATGCTTCGGCTGGAGTGAGCACTGGAGTAGAATGGTTCAATCCCTGTGTAATAAGATTGTGAAAAAATGTTGGGTGGCAAAATATGAAATATGAGCATTATGATCAACTTAGTGAATTTTTTTCAGTTTTTCTCTTCTTTTTTTTCCAGTGACTCGTTTATATACATGCCTGACTTCTGCCTGAGATATACATACCCATTCAAGAATAACATACCTGAAGGACACGCGAAAGCACAACTTGAAACTTATCCGATGGTGCATTCACAAGATGTGGGAAAACAAGTAAAACCTGGCAAGCAGAAGAAAGTAGGTTTTAGTGAGGAAGGGTAAATAAAGAGGATCAATGCATATATCGAAAGCAAAAACTAAGAGGTCAAAAACCCCTAGAAGTACCACGTCACTTATAATTTTATGTTATTACTACACAAACAATTTATTGATGGTTTTTAGGTGCTTTTAAAATACATGCACAAAGATGAAAAAAAAGAAGATATTATCCACTGAATCATGTGAGGAAGCATAGCTCTCTTGAAAGTGTTGTTCTTAAATGAGGTACAGTTAGTCACTCGCAACAACATTCTGATTTGACATGGAGACATCGTTGATTAATACTGCAAAATGAATTCCGGAAACCCAAAGAACTTTTTATTGCAAAAAAAAGAAAGGGAACACTGCATGCCATGGCACAACTCAATCATATAGAAGATTATCAGTAACAGACGATTCATAATCAAAATATAAGAAAAAAAGTGTACCAGTAGCAGTCACATTAAAAATGTCAAATGGGAAAGATAAACAAGAAAAAAATTGATAAGAATGTTTTTTACCTCGTCTTTTGGCAGGAATGGTAAAATTGGAATCAGAATATCTACATCCTGTAAAAAGAGAGGTATAGAAAATTAGAGTTCAGAAAAATTTAGAAAGGGAATAGTTACACCCAAAATGAAAAGAGGATCGCCCATGTATGCAGAGACAGTGAACAGAGAAAAGAAAGGATCCACAGTTACCTTTAGCTTTATATTGTATAACCTCTTAATGGTAGATACCAACTCTGGAGAAGGAACTGTTCCATCTGTCAGTATTTGCACAACCTATAGTTCATAAGCAACCATGAGTAAGCGGTACGGACAAATACTTCGCCACATACCAAACTTCAGACGAAAATATAGAAAGCAAAACCTGAATTATAAGCTCTTCACTTCCAGCAGGTGGATTGGATACAACATCAAGGAGATCACGGGATGAGCCAATAGTTCGAACAAGTAGTGGGATTTGACGATGAACTGTCTGCACCATGATTAAGTGTGTCAAGAACAGTCTAATAATAGCAAGACTCAAAACATATATACGGATCTTCATTGGCAGTAAGGTTTGATTGAATTAAACCTGCTTTGCCATCTTGGATGTATCTTTATAAACATCAAAGATTTGCCGGAGAAGAGAGTGTTTCTGTTAATCAAACTTGATATCATTAGGTCGGAAAGTGTAACATGGCAACACATATTTAAATTTCAATCCCGGAAAGCAACAGAAATATCACTGACTCTTTATCATACCTTTGTACACAATGCAAAATACAGAGACATGCAACGTTGCACCTCAGCTACCGTAGAAGATGGAATACTTTCAGATGCTGAAAGCTGATGAGTATCAACTGAGATCTCTTTAATTGCAGAACTCGCTGGTTGATTTTCACTTGAAGGATTCTCATCCTAAATAAATGAATTTTGAAAAACAATTAAGAGGTGGTGATTCACAAACCGGAGTATTAAAAAGCATAACGCAGTGAAAATCTAAAATACATTGAATAATAACAACTCAGTATAGAGTACAACACCAAACGTGACTTTCTAAAACCCCATGTGATTGATATAAGCTTCTCCCTTCCCCTTCTGTTTTTCTGTTCTCCTGGGGAAGGAGAGAATTACTTTCAATAGTTAAGAACTAATAATGCTCTTTTTTTTACTTTATTACGCTTTATAATGGTAAAGTAACTTAACTTAAGATATATCCACCTGAAACCACAGATCAGAGATAATTAATGTGACCAGTGGCCGGGCGAGCCACCCTTTAACCGGGGTGGACTCCAGCCTACTCTCGATATGATTTTTAAACTATATTATATCATATTTATTAATTTAGTCCACCCAATTTATATTATTAAGCACACCCCATCATAATTTTTTTGACAAAATAAAATTTTAAAAGAGACAATTGTACTTTGTAAGTAGTTACATGGTTAATTGTACGAAATTGTAGAACTTTAAAGAGTTTAATGTATGCTAGTTTATTAAATGATCTAGCTATCTACTTATTTAGGATCTTTTTTGTTAATATTTTTTTTATTCGGGCCCACCCTGATATGATATCCTGTATCCGTTACTGAATGTGACAGTTGTCCTTTTATTCTTCTTCCGCTATTTGTTTGACACCTATAATTTCAAGTTGGAATACAAGTAGTTTAATTTTTCCCAGATGTAGATTCTTATCCCACATTGCATATTTGGACACTTGAACCAGGTAACCTTGTAAGAGAATTTGATATTGATATGAGATTCACTTTTGGGTCTGTTACCTTCTGTACCTCAGCAAGGGTTCCATCACCCTCCTTTGTCAGTGTAATTTGATCATCACCTACAACTGATAGCAACATTTCTTTGGCAAAGTCTTCAATTTTTTCTGATATGAATGATAAAGGATAAAGCTTATTCGCCACCTAGAATTTCAAAAAAAATATAAGTATGAATTAAAATGTTTTCTTGTGGATAAATGTAATAATGAAATGAAAGTTGTGCATGAATACCAAACGTATTGCCTTCATCCGCACTTCTTCCGAGTGATGAACTGCACTCTATTGAGAAATCAAATACATAGAAGTCAGATAAACCTAAATGGAAGGAAAACTAAACACAACAGAAGACAGAGCGATACGATTAGACTTCAGAATCACAGTCAGTAGATCAATACAAATATTTTAGTTAAAATCAATGAAAAAAGTGGAGGTGAAATTACAATTCACCGACTATGAATCTGAACAGGACAAAATTATTACTATGTCAATTACCATACTCTCACTTATAATGTACACATCAAAAAATAATTAAAAAATCAACCTATAAGACTTTGCAAGCATACAAAACAAGAATAACGTTAACATTTTTCATTCATACATAGTCCCTAAAACTGCAAACTCACATGCCATAAATTTGAAATTTGTTCTAAGGAAGGGTCCCATTCTCGAAGTTTCAAACTCCATTGTTGATATTTAGAAGTTGAAATATCTGTGTGATTATAAAGAGGCAATAGGTAATGATATCCATCTTTTTCTCGTCACATGGTCGACAGCATGAATGTAGAAGGTATACATATATATATATATATAAAGATGTAAAATAGAGACAAGAATACACTAAAAAAATTCAGTATACGGATTGAAACCTTTAGAGCGATTTTGAGACAAGCATCTCGAATTGGAGGTCTTAGCAACATTAGGCTCCACACAGTACTCAGCCCCTGGGTTACTCGATCTCCACCATGCAATTCCTTATCATCATTATCACTGCTACCAGGACAACATAAGGATTCTAACATTGCAAATAAAGATTTTGGCAGATACGGAACTTCACCGAGCAATCTACTCAAAGATTTGTCCGAGGCTGGAAAAGAATCTCTCAGTGTTTCTGCCTGTATTGCCAAAAGAATAAATGGAAAAATGAAAATATATAACAATATATTCAAGAGGAACAAATTGAAGACTAGGAACATGTATGCGCACCACTTGGAGAAGAAAAGTTTCATATACAGATGTAGCAGTTGTTGAGATGAAAAAGTCACGGTCCTCTTCCGCCTCCCCAAATAGCCGGTATAAGACACGCAAGGTTAACTCATGCCCCTGAAGACATACATTAATCAGCCACATTATAAGAAATCGTGAGTATTTAAAAGTTCATCTCACTCAGACATGGATTTGAGGAACAGAACACGCAGAAAGTAAAATGAAGAGGAAGGTTGTACAAAAAGACATGATCAAGAAAATAAATTCTGAAAGGAATACCATTAAGTGCATAAGCCCAGATTATTAACATCTCATTTGACATATATCCAAAACATTGTTTATTTATTTATTTTTAGATAATAAAATAATTCGCTGCAAGGACTTAATTTAGTCGACAAGTCGACCAAATCAAATTAACTAAATTTTCAGTTAGTCCCACTGATTTTTTTAATTTAGTTTACCAAGTTTTTTGAATAGTAGGCTAAACAAAAATATTAGTCGACTAAACATTTAAGAGAGAAAATATGATTAACAAATAAACTTGGTAGCCTATATCTAATTGCCCCTTAAAAATTAGTCGTACATAAGCTGCAACCGACTCATTCATGTATTTTAAGATCGCTGGAATGTTCAACTCACCTAGAGGCAGTCATATTCATATTTATAATAAAATATTATCCTAAGATACAGTAATAGAAGCATATCTAGCTTATTATTTATGGGTTGATAGTGCCAGATGTTAAGTCAACAAGTTTACCACAAATGATGACAGTTCAACTCAAAAATATAAATTAACAGGAACTGAAACTTCCACCTAGTACACCCAAAAAAGAGAAGAAGAAAAAAAGGTATAACTATTTACCTCATGATTAACATAGTCCGACAATATATGTGCTTTCAGTAACTTCCATGGATCAAGCTCCGACGGAAACTGCATCAGATAAACCCATCATAACAGATTTAGTCTAACATCACTAAAAAAATACTGGCTCACATACGTCAGTGTGTTACCTCCATTCCTGAATGGGCAAGAATAGAAAAGCGGGTTTGAGACCCTCCAGCGACAGTGACATGCTTATATGCCTCAACAATGCGTACGAAAGCTAGTTCTTGTAACTGATCCTTTTGATCATCAGCAAGGTGGATAACTGGGGCAGATATCTTCGGCAGAACCAACTGTGGTAACAACCGAACAGACGTTGCAGTTGAGGAATTCATGTTTGTGTCTGTGCTTGCTGCTTTTGGGCTAAGTTCCTCAGATCTATCTGTAGACAATGATTGAGCTAGTTCTATAGGTGTCCTATCTAATTCTAGGGATGTACTATCTAATTCTAGGGGTGTACTATCTACTTCTAGGGGTGTATTATCTAATTCTAGGGGTGTCCTATCCGGATTAATAAAATCTTCTTCATTGGCATCATCTAAATCAGTCAAACCCTTGGAAGAAACAGCTAGATTTTCAGGCAATCCATCATCCTGAGTGGACAAAGCAAGTCCAGGTATTTCATCTTCCACACTCTTCATATCATTGACTTCAGATGTAATTGCTGTAAAATCAGTCTCCATTGCAGAAGGTATATCATCGGGAGTAACAGACTCACTAATAGACAATGTTGCTTGTTGACTTGCATAATTCAAATCATCATATGCAACATTACTATCAGCCAAAGTTACACGTGGTTCCTCTTCTTCAGTTTGCTGCAATTCGAATAAAATTGCATCAATTAAACCAATGGAAGTGTCAAATTAAAGGTAAAATAAAAGTTGCTATAGTAACAAATAAATTAACAAGTGGATGTTCATGTTTAAATATATTATTAAAATAATAATAAAATACATGCCTCAGGCTCAGTGGATACTGAATGATGAGGGTCTTCTGTTCCAACTGGAGAAGAGTTAGGTTGTGCGAGAATGTCTGTCAGCAGCAAAGACAAATGGTTGATGTGACTTTCACTTGCAACAGTATCAGGATGAGGAACACCTGTATTGCCCAGTGGCTCTTCATTCATTTCAGATTTAGGGATTTTTGGAGGAAGATTCCGTAAATTAGCCATAACTACTTCAGCTAACAAATCAGCTGATATGCTTGAGACGAGAATCTCCAAAGAAGCAGCAGCTTTCTCCCCCTGAGCAGCCAATGCACCAAACATAGCAACAAGCTGCTGCACAGGTCCACTATCTGCATCTGGTCTAGACGGTGTTTGTGCCTCTGTAATTTCTTTTTTTGTTCCCTCTGAGTTGTCAGGAGTTGATCTAGCACGTTTTCCTGACATGTCATCTTCAGTAAACTCTGATGCGTCTAGCTCTACACCTCTTTTCCTACCAACATTATTATGTTCGTTCACAAATGCTATAGAAGGTTTTTCATCCTGTAAGAAGTTTGTGGAGTCATTTGCAAACGTTTATTTTGTTAAATGGATGTCACTGAAAATAATCATCTGAAAGATAGTAGTACCTCATGAACTTGAGCCACGTGCGAATCACCTGTCCACTCTGCTCTCCCATTGTTATCAGATATTTCTAAGGCAGCATGTTCCGTTGGTTTTCCAACTTTAATTTCTTTCAGTGCACCAACTAGACGATCCCGCCACTGGAAAGTAACAAATCCAGATAAACTATAGTGCCAAAATCATTGTGTAAATTCAAATATCTAAGCGATTAAAGGATCAAAAATCATACTGATTATCAGAATAACAAGGAATAAAGATATTTTTCCATCTGAGCGACATGTCTTTACTTTTTGCACTCCAAACTAAGCGAATTTAAGGAATGTATACCCAATTTTAAAGGAAAATTATCAGATCATGTTAAGGTCATGAAACTTCACCCTCCCAACTCACTCAGTTTTCCACTACAACTTCAAAATATTCCGCAAAGGCAATGCCTGAATGGTATTGGATGGGGAGAGCAGTAATAGGTCGAGGGTTCAATTCCCTTTGGGTTTGGTATTGTAAGCCATTTATAAGGCCAATTTTTTTTCTTAAAAAAAACCTTCAAAATGTTGAAAACACAATGAGATCCTGAATCACGCCATATAAATTTTATAATCAGATTATCAAAAAAAAATTAAGTTTGAATAGAGGACTGATGACTACAATTAGCAGGAATGAAAACGCAAAACAGTAATCATGAGGCTGTGATATCATATCATAGAAGCCAAAATGGTTGCGGAGAAAGCACATGGTCTGACCGGAAAAAAGTGAAGGTTGTAAATGATAGAAAACAATATACCGGTGCAGCACCAGGGTGCGTACAATTCAAACAAGACTCAAAAGCATTCTTCAGAGCATGATTCACCCCAGCAAGATGCATGCCTTTGCTAGCAGAGCTTGAAGGATCCAAGCCAAGTAAAACAGGCAGTATACGACCATAAAAGGCTGGCCTCTTCCTTGCTACTTCCGAAAGACTAAAGAAATAGGAAAGCAAACTTATTAGAGAGTGAGGGAGAGGGACTTGGTGCTTTTGTGAGTGTTGATTGAGAAAATATATACCATTTAATTAGTACAATGATCACCAAGTAACTATGTGATTTCAAAGATGGGAATCTCAGCTGATCTAGCAGTAGACCCAAATTTTGGCTTGCTTCAGCAGACAAATCTCTGACATTGAGTATGGGATGCCCACCACGAAGCCATGAGATATTGAATTCCTCAAACTCCCCTGCGGGAATTTAAATAGCTCAAACTTATATATACGCTTACCGAAAGTACCGAATGACGTAAATATCATGTATGTGTGGTTATGCATGTAAGCTTAATCCACGTTATACTCAGGGCCTGCTTTTCAAAGATATAGAATCCCACGGATAATAATGAAACAAATTTACCTTCAGAAATTTGATCAGCAGGTGGTTCCTGAGAGGCATTAGGATCAGGAGTATAAAGTAGCAGAACAGATTCCACGAATTTCAATGCAGGCAACCTTCTCCCTTCACTTCCCACCTTAATGCGTGTTTATTAGTCAAAAAAATGTTCCTCAACAATGCATATTTCATGTTCAAGTGACACTTACTTTAAATGCCATCGAATATATTTCATCTCTAAACTTTAGCACTGATAGCCACGATGATCTCTGTGATTCGTTGAATCCGCTCGAGTACAACCCCTGGTAAGAATTTAAACATTATATAGCCGAATAGAGACCTCCTTGCAGTGACATACAGAAAATTTGGTAAATATTAAATTAAAGAAGGGGGTCAATAAGAAATAGCCAATCCAACTATGGATGAGAAAACAAATTCTTCAATTAACATCACAATGGCTTTCCTCTTTGTGATTTAAAAGAGGGTCGCCACATTCTCAATAACATTTTAACAAATTGGACCCGATTCCTTGATATTCAGTAGAATGCAAGTAAACATATGCAAATAAGAAATTTCCCTAATCAATAAGTGATATAAAAGGTGCAGTAAGAAAAGAGGGAAAATAACAAAGAAAGACATTTCCCGAATCAACAATTAGAAACCTGATTAAAACCATACCGTCAAGAGTTCATTAATAAGCAAGAACCTAAATGAACAAGACGACCTTATCCAGAAGAATTCAAAAATCATATGATTTAATAGGTACTAAGTCTCCATACTATCATACTCCAACAATGTTGATGTCACACCAAAATAAAATTACACAAAATTTTGTTTTAGTTATTTAAAAACCTTAACCAACCTGGATGGTGACTTTAACTAGAGAACTGCGAAATATATCAATCCCGCATGTGATAGCCTGTCGAGCAACAGCTGGGGTATCGTCTTTCAAAACATCAACCAGTGCCGGTATTATTTCAGGTAACAACTCCAAGTGCTTTAAACCAATTTCACCAATCATCCTATATCAATGGAGACCATAATCAAGTTTAAATTAATACCTTTACTACACTTCATCGTTAAAAAAAAAAAAATCACTTCAGTGCGTAAAGAAAGCATCTGAGAACTTGGACATTATTACATAAACCCCCAAAATTAGGTACTATAGACGTAACCGAATAAAATTTCTAACTATGGCCCCGCCAAACTGACGCAAATACACACAGAAATTTTGCTACATAATCATCCCTACTCACTCAGCTCAGTCAGCATAGTTGCGTAAAGAATTCCCAACTCTATATTTTAATGTCGAACAAGGAAGAAAATGAAGCATTCTTCGCTGTAGTGTTGCCACATCTTACCACACAGTATTCACGCACAGACAATTGACATATTAAACGCGCATTTACATGATCATTGGGTTGTCAGAAAAAGCTTACCGAGTAACAGATTTTCGGACGGGGCTTAAACGGTCAGATAGGAGGTCAATAATAGGGGAGAGGAACTCCACCAGCAACACAGAATCCACGGCGGCGAGATCATCACCAAGCCGCCGCAACTGGTCGAGCTTCTGACCAATGTCGGTACCTCCGTACTTTATTGAGTTGATTCTGCTCGCAATTTTCTCTCGAGATATCCCCGCCATCATTCCCACCATCGTCTCGGTTGGTTAAAATACACAATAAATCAAAGAAACCCTAAGTTTTCTAGAATGACACTATAGCATCAGAATTGAACAGTAACTAAATAAATAAATTGAAGGGTTTTTTCGAGTTGATAAGTCATAAGAGTGTGGAAATGAAATTCGCTTCGCCGGATTCTCCTCTCCGGCAAGGCGGGATTGTAAATTGAAGTACATTGCGCTCCGATTTTCAGGATTTTACCCCAAAACGATTTCTTCATGAACAGGCCGAATAACCCCGTAGGCCCAATACTTTTTAATTGGATATAGTTTTGGTTTCAAGATTTATGGGCTCTGGCCCAACGGGTCGTGTAGCAATTAGGGGTGGAAATTGATGAAAATTCCCGATTTCGTCGATTTTTTTACCCCATTTTTTTCAAACGGAATTGGAATACAAATTAGATTCCAAGTTTCTATCAGATTTTAATTTCGAAAAATATTGTCAAAGATTTTCGACAGTTTTTATTTTCTTTTGTATTATGCTCTTGAAGACCTTTTTTCTTTTTTCTTTTCTTTTCTTTTTTGTTTTTTTATCTTTTATCTTTTAAGCCTTGAAAAGCTTTTTCAGTGATATATATTTACAGTTAATTTTGACCAAGTATTTGAAATTTAGTTGTTGCAACTGGTAAATGACATTACATTATTTTAAAAAATTATATATTTATTAATATTGATCTGAAATAAACTTCCTAAAAGTTAGTTAAATAACAATAATCAACTTCACAAAGTTTCCCAAGAGATAAAAGAATTAAAGTAAAACCAAATTTAATTTTCAATTATTTCAAAAATGATATTCCAACTGATGCTTTCCCTTTCACATACGTGGAAAACACCAAAGGCCCATTTCCAGCAGTGAAGAGGGAGCCAAAGATAAGGAGAGAGTGTTGGTTTGAAGGGACAAGGAAAAAAAAGACCATGGCAATTCAACTGAAACACCACCACACATCAACCTTAAACAAACACCTCCAGCCACCATTCTCTGCCGCCCCTCAGCCGCGCTCAGCCTCTCTGAGAGTGCATGCAGTCTTAGGCGGCAGAGCTCAGGAGCTAATAAAATCCGGTGCTGTCACCCCCATACCACCGAAATATGCAGCCTCACAAATCCAGTCACAGGGGTACACATTGCTTGACATCAGGCCAGAGTGGGAGAGAGAGAAGGCACGTGTCTCGGGTTCACTTCACGTGCCACTTTTCATCGAGGATAAGGATATGAGCCCCATCACATTGTTGAAAAAATGGGTTCATTTCGGGTACATTGGTTTGTGGACCGGACAGTATTTCACTATGATAAATCCTGATTTTCTTGAACAAGTGGGGAATGTGGTTCCTGGTAAAGATTCTAAGCTGCTCGTGGCTTGCGGAGAGGGACTAAGGTAATAAAATGCGATTAATTTAAATATGAACAGTTTCTTTTCTGGCAGAAGATAATTGAGATAATTGTTTTACGGTCAAATGTAAATGAAGGTCTTCGATGGCTGTTGCGAAGTTATACAAAGGGGGGTATAAGAAGTTGGGGTGGTTAGCCGGAGGGTTTAATCGATCCACGGAAGATGATTTCGAAAGAGTTGAAGGACCTGAGAAATTGCAGTATGCTGCAATTGGAGGTGCATCGTACTACTTCCTTAAGTTGCTTCTTATATTACAAGCTGTGGGAAAGAAAACTTGATCCCGTGAAAGCAACAAACATTTGTATTTTGGTGTGAAGTTATTCGATACATTGCACATATGACAATGCTTTCAGAATGAATATGTCAATTTTTATTCACATTTTCTTTTTCGTAGAAGTTCGAATTCTACATTATCCAGGTAATAGAGCAACACGTATTTTCAAGTAAATTGAATACCTGGCTGAAATGTTTACCTAAGCATTGGGCTTCTGTGCTGCTCAAACTGTGTATATCCTTTTCACCTTTCTCGTCCTTTGACGGCAAATAGGGCAAACTGCGGAACTCTTCCGTATCCTGCAAAAGCTCGAGTCAGATTATTACACATGATTTAAGTTTTGAACTATTGTTGACTCCCAGACAACTAGTTTTCCATTTGTGAAGGTAAACAGAATTTATCGATCATCGTAGTTTTTTTTCATAACGTATAGACAGCAAATGAAACATAAAATTGCCTGAACAAGATAGTTGACAAGATCAATATCATAGTTTTGTTTACCCACCATATATAAGCTTCGAGAGATTCCAAAAGGTTATTGTAGTTAGTCTACAATCATGCAAAGGGCAAATTTGTATGAACTTACTATCATGAAAAATGCTTGTTCAATGTTAGATGTCTATTTACACGTCACTCGAATCCTAATGAGAGTAGGTTTGTCGAATAGACAATGCAGGTGATATCGAGCAAAATTTGATTTACGATAAACACTCACCCAAATTAGAAGCTACTTCGAACCATTTCCTTTTATTCTATGAAGTTCACGAAGTGAAACTTTTTCCAGACTTCCAGTACCACAATTTATGAGCTAAGGTATCACTTAAATTTTTCATAGCCATTTCTGGTGTGGTATATAGATTTTACAGTATATATAATATATATGCATAAATGGAGCAAGATATACATTTCAAATTCTTTAAACTGACTCTCCAGTCATTTAATACTTAAGAAATTTCAATTGCAACTGTAACAGACGATGTTTGCTAAAACTGGGAGAGATAGAGTTTTTACCTTGTCGCACATTGAAAGCAAGCCACACTGTGTCCGCATGGAAGGAAAAAACAGTCCTTGGGAGCAGTAAAGCAAATTGCACAATGACGATGCCTATGTTCGTCATCATCTGAGATAGAGGCAGAGGAATCCCCATCTTCGTGTGAAAGCAAAGTGTTTCTCTCGGGTTCAATTTCTCCAAGCGGATCTCTTCGTCGAAGATGATTTGAAAAGTAATTCATGAGTAGCAGAAGAGAAGTTATTCCACCTGTAGATAAAACAATTTAATAAAATTACAGATATCTGATATAGTACATGATCTTATTTCTAGTGAGTTCCACAGATAATGTACCTGTGCCAATCAAATATGTAACCCATCGACGTCCATACCAAAGTTCAAAATACCAATCACCGCTGACCATACCCTACAGAATTTAGAGAACGATGAAACAGAATGCTGACTGTTTATCAATACATCTCACCCCAATACCATCTTGGAAATCATAAATGAATGATATGTTTCTGATAAAAGCTTTGGCATGGAATTCTTTCTATTCCACATCTTCACTACCCTCATTAAGTACTTAAGTATTAACTCGATCAAACTGTGAAACACACTACCCAAAGAACTAGTAGTACCTTTCCGGAGCATTGTTAATGAAACAGAAGCTTCACCGTAGGCTAGGACTTGAGCTGCTTTTAATGGTTCATTGGTTATACTTTTGTTTGATGTTTGAAGGGGATCATAGGAATAATTCTCGCTTCCAGTCCCTTATTTTTTGCCTTAACACTTATGGATTATGCTTTTATTGAAGTATTGCAATTTGCACTCATAGCCTCTCAAGTAGACTTTTCGTGGAAAAATAGTACCTCACCAAATAAAGAACTTACAGGCGAGCGGGCAGGAGAAGTAAGAACAGCTGCATTTCCACCCTTAAGAAACAGTTGGAAAGTACAATTGCCTTCTGCAGGGGCACATTTGTAATATGATTCTGTTGTATTGTGAAGGAAGGCCTTTATCGTGGTATTCAAATTCACCTGTTTCACAAATCAAATATGAGAAAATAATGCATACACTATTGAGCCATCAACAATTGTAAAATGATTAGTGATGCACTAAGTCTAGAAGGGATGAGTTGATTTCCAATAGATGGTTAAGCAAAGAAGCTTGCCCCAGCAAATTCAGCATTCAAGTTACCAACTGCAATGTAGTAGGTAGAAGATTCAGACACATCCTTCTGTATTGAGCCATTTCCTGCAAACAACAAACTAAGTGAGCTACAGTAAAGGAAGTAGAAAATAACATTTTCCCAATTTTTCATCTAACCATGAATTAGATTCCATGACATTGAGAAGTGTATACTTGGCTGTGATGGATCCTTAAGCCACTCAGCAAGACCTGCACTCCCTGCAAGCATTTAGACGTCTCAGGTGGCAAACATTGGCCCATGACGAAATCAATTTTAATCTAGCATATGAAATGACAATGATGAGAAAAGATCTCCAATAGTTGGAGTTATCTTGCTTATTCATAGCAATACGAAGCTGGAGCTAAATCATCTTGAATAACGCAAGGAATCTAGCAAGCTCAATTTTACTTCAGAACATATGGCAGTAGCTACTAGCTAGACAGATGCTGCCCTAAATTTCAACAGAAGGCAAGAAACAAGCAGCATGTGACACTGTGAGGACAATTATGTTTCGAGAATCATTACGATGGTTAGAGTAAAACTATATTACATTATCAGAGCAGTTACATAATTTTATGCAGTTATGAATATTATAGATGTAGGCAGCATATAATGTTCAAATCTTGCACGTGTTCATAACTATATAGCGCCACCTATCGATAATCTATCCACAGCCATGGGAATTTTGTCTGCGCCTCCTTAGGACATGCATCCCTTCATTTTCTCTCACAATGCCAAAAAATGTATATACGAAGTGGCGGCGAATTCAAAATGAACTCGAGCATGAGAAACTAAAATTTACCTTTCACAATTACAAGAACAAGAGATAATGAACTTAGGGATCCCACACTGTAAGATATGTTTATTTCAGATCCTTTGTTCAAATAGTAAAGCCATTCCTGTAATAAGGAAGTCAAAATGGTGAATTACACTAGCATTTACTGCGTCGAAATCAAAACATATAACTACCTATCAAGAAACATAACATGATATTTAAGATCAAGTACTTCAGTGCAAAATCACTGTGATGATTTATGAAACTCGCCTTGTGAGTACCGGCAGGGAGAGTGATCTTATGAGTCTCGGACCATGTCATAGTAACATCGAGAGGTGGACTTTTATGAAATCCATACAGCATTGAGCCTTTGGCGGCATTGAGTGCTACCACCTGGTATAAGCTATGATTAACTTAGAACACAATTTTCAACATTGTTAATGGAAGTGCAGAAGGCACAGAGACCTACAGAAACGACTGGTAGAATTTAAGTAAACTAAGCTTGGTAGCAATGTCACAATACCTTTACAGATTCTACGAGTAAATGGCTGGGATTTATCAAAACTGAGGCACTAGGTCCGAGCCGCAGAGCCTCAGGTGCAAAGATCGAAAATGCCACAACCATAGCTACTGAAATCAGAAATGGCCAAATAGAGCACTAGTTATGCAAAACCATATACACCCCCAATTATGCCATAGTCATGGACAGTATAATTGTGAGGCGTAGAGAGATATAGAAGTTTTATAGTCTCTTTTAGCATCATCCATGAATATTATGGCTGAACCAGTTCTTCTATCTCGATTCAATTTATTTTATATTTTGAAATTTTAGAATTACATCAAAGAGTTTTAACCAAGCTCTGCCTTCTTCTGCTTCTGCATATTCAAATTGCATAAAACTCAGTTCATATGAATACTATTATTTCCCAAACTTTGACATCGATCAAAGTTCACAAAACGATTCAATCTCTACGGTTTCATTTCCTGCTACTACATGGAGGAGTAAACTGGCAATGCTCCAGTTTCCATTGCTCGACTCAAATATCTTAGAATAAAATATTTTAGCATTCAACTTGCAGATGAGTGTTAGAATCACAACCAAATCATAACGGAATTGACTATAGGGATAGCAGAACATTAAATTCGTTCTCACGTGTCTCAAGTATAGTACGACTGTAAAATCAGGAAGAAATTAAAGTGCATTTCACCCCCAAATGGCCGAATGTTGTTCATCTATGTCTTCAATTAACTTCATAATTTAAAAAAATTCCAACAAACCATGAAAAAATGCATAAGAACTTCAACACACATACCGAAAATCGAGAACGCGGTTGAAGATACGAGGCAGGACTTAGCATCGTTTCCGATCACCGACGAGCCCTCGTTATTCACCACGTAACCTTCATTATCCATCCCCGCGAAACGCTCCCGTTCAGAAGAGCTGTGCGGAGACTCCGGCGACCTCTCCGGAAACGGCAACGGCGGAGACTCTTCAGAATTCTCCCACGCCGCCGACGCAGAAGCAGCACCGGAGCTTTCTCCTCCGGCCGGTAACTGCTCCACCTGATCCATTCTATTAAAGGAAACGATGAAAAGTTTGAGAGGGAAAAAATGATAACAGACGAGAAATACGAAAATCTAAATACAGATTGAAGGAATTCAACGAGTTGGTTATTTATACCTCCGGTGAGAATCTGAATTGAAGTAGCCATAAGAGATTTCAGATTTGAATAATGCGTATTTAAATTTCTTTTAGTCATACTCAAAAAGAAAATTAAAAATTAAAAAAAATGTTATTATTTTAATCGGGTGTAGAAAGCTGTTGAATTTTGGGATATGATTAGGCCCAAACTTAATTAGAACGTTAGATACACATATTTGGGCTGTAACGATCCAAAGTTAAAATAGAAAATTGCTACCCCAATTTAATTTTCTATTTTATAACATCAATTATTCTAAAATAATAAATTAGGATTGATTAACTAAATAATTGATTTTTTTTTAATTAATTTAATAACTTCTCAAATTGGTCCACAATTTCTAATGGAAATTAGTTTCTTATCATGTTTTCCATATTCCCTAATTAAGTTATCAAAAGGAATTGTAAATTAATATTGACAAATAAATATAATCTTAAAAACCAAACAATGCATACATATGATAAAGTACATTATGGACTTTGTTTGAAGTGTTAAACTATAACTTTCAAAAGTAATTTACTTAAATTATTGCAATCTTAATTGCCAAATCAAAGATTAAAAATAGATTCACAGTAAATAATCTACACTAATTAATGGAGGAGTTATGTTCATCTTAGGGTAATTTATTTTCCTTTTACAATTTTGTTTATGGGCCCTTTTTTTTACCTCTTTTGCAGCTTTATAAATAACCAGTGGGGCAAAGTTGACACAGTTCTCTCTCTCTCTCTCTCTCGTGTCTGTTCACTGAAAATCAGAACGAGCAACGATGTCCCAATGCTGATGCCCATCCTCACAGCACCGCCGCGTCTCCGCCGTACATCTCCGCTGAAAGCAATTTCCATGACGACGGCTCCGGTGGGGCTGGATTTTCCGTCCTACATCCGCAAAGCGGGGGTTTGGCTGCTCTGCCTGGTGCTGCTCACGGCGGTTGTTTTATCATGCTTTCTCCTCCACGGAGCTGCCGTCTCCGGAATCACACGTGCAACTCACGTGTTTCCCGTCCTTGCTGATATAGGTTCCTTTTCCTCGGTCCGTTGCCATCTCAAATTTAAATGTTTACTTCTCTCTCTAAATTTTGCCCTTCTCATTTATTTAGCCTATTTTTTCTTCTTCCCATTTAATTGATTTTGAACGGAGAAGTTGCTAGAAGCTTCTGTTCAATGAACGATGTTGATTATAAAGGTTTTGCTGTGCTTTTCTCCAGTCAGATCATTTCTTCACGTTTTACATGATGTAAAGAGACAAGTACAACAAGTTCACATTCATTTAATTTTCGTAAACGTATCATAATGATTGTAATTTGTAAACATGAAGGGGGGAAATGATTAGGGACAACATTATAGACTATTTTGTATTTCGTAAAAGTAAATTTGTGTTACGTGTTCGAAATATTTTCACGATTTTGTTATATAGTTCTAGGATTAGCTGTTGCTTGATGTGGAGTTTGAAAATCTACGATTCAGGGTGTAATATTATGGCTATTGCTGTTATTTTATTGAAAAAGAGTCGAGAAACTAAAATATCTCCGCAAAGTGCGAACTCATGGTCATTCCTTTCCTATTGATTTTCTTGACTATATTAGAGTGGGATTACTCGATTTCTTTCAAGTTTTTTTCATATTTGATGCAGCAGATGTCCAATTATGTTAGAGGGATTTACGCTCATTGTGCCAAGTAATGATTGATCGCGATCAACTAATTCAGTAGTCTCGTATCTTATTACAGTTTTGCAGTTTTACTGGATCTTGGTTGTTTTAGTTTAATATGGCTTATGATATTGTCCACGTGAGATTCTTTGACGTAGTTTACTTTAGATCATGAAATCACCCTAATGATCGTAAAATTACTGCACTTCCTAATTGTATCATAGTTGTTGTAGGATAACGAGGAGTACAGTCTTGAAAGAGTTCTGAAGGCTGCTTCTATGCAAGACAATTCAGTGATCTTAACAACCCTAAATGAAGCTTGGGCAGCTCCAAATTCAGTATTTGATCTCTTTCTTGAGAGTTTCAGAATTGGAGAGCGGACCCGCCATTTGCTGAACCATCTGGTGGTTGTTGCTTTAGATCGAAAGGCATTTTCTCGTTGTTTGGCTGCACATTCCCATTGTTTTGCACTTGTCACTGAAGGAGTTGATTTTTCAAGTGAGGCTTATTTTATGACCCCCGACTACTTAAAGATGATGTGGAGAAGAATTGATTTCCTACGATCTGTTCTTGAAATGGGGTACAACTTCGTTTTCACGGTACTTTCTTTATCTCTTTGTCTCTCTGCACTCACAAGTATTTATCATATATATTTTGTATCATGATTTAGTATTTAGCATTTCGGGAATCTCGTGTTACATTTATCTTTCACTTTCTGATTTTTAGGATGCGGATATTATGTGGTTCAGAGATCCATTTCCTCACTTCCATCCAGATGCCGACTTCCAGATAGCATGTGATCATTTCTCTGGTATATCTGATGATATAGAAAATAAACCTAATGGAGGATTCAATTTCGTAAGATCAAATAATCGTTCTATAGAGTTTTACAAGTTCTGGTATTCCTCACATGAGACATACCCCGGCTTACATGATCAAGATGTTCTCAATAGAATTAAGAACAATTCCTTCATCACAGAAGTGGGGCTCAAACTTAGATTCTTGGATACTAATTACTTTGGTGGATTTTGTGAACCTAGTGAAGATCTTAATCGAGTTTGCACAATGCATGCAAACTGTTGCTTCGGCTTGCAAAGTAAGCTTCATGACCTCAGAATCTTGCTTGAAGATTGGAAGAAGTTTCTGTCCTCGCCACCAAATTCAATAGCCTCTGGTTGGAGAGTTCCGCAAAATTGCAGGTAAAAAAAATATGCCTCTGTAAGCTGTTCCTATCTGGTTACATGTGATTTGTTTTTACCTGACTATTGGTCTGATTACTCCATATATTATATTTTCTATCATTTTTTTTTGTTTGCAGTCTTGACTCTCTTCAAATGGATTTGCAACTACCGGAGCCTACAACGACAGATAATTTTTTGAATGGAGAAATATCGAAAAATTGACGACCACCTCCTCTCCACCAAATAACAGTTAGGTAAATTCTGACAATCTGGGCTATATGTGTAAATTAATTTATGGTATATTTTAGGGAAAAATGAGCTTTATGTGGCATTCGTAGAAAGGATGCTATATATGAAACTGATTACAAAAGGGTGTTTGTATTTTTTTTCCTGAGCACATCTGTAGTTCATATATCAGTTTTTGGAAGTGGGAAAAGGTGATGCAATACTCTGTTTGGGGTGAGATATCATTTTGAAGGATTTGTCGCTGTGGGTTTGTGACTTGTGAGTGGTGATGCAGTGGCTTTTAAGCTGCACATGGTCTGGTACTGAATATTTGCCAGATGAAAATCGAAAGGGCTTGCACAATTTTCTTGAATGTCGAGCTCTCTATTTTCTTTTTGAGATGTTGCAGGGAACTACTTAAGGTAATTTGGCTAAACTTGTAAGTTTCGAAAAGCAGCTTATAAGTTCCCCAGAAAAAAAACATCTCATAAGTTGTTTAATAACTTATAATCTCTTAAATATTTGCCAAACGATAATCGAAAAGCTTTGGAATAAGTTTCTTGAAGCTAGAGTTCTATGTTTCCCTTTCTAATGCATGCAAAGAAAATGTGCAGACTCCATAAGCTTGAATTGAAATGTTGCACTGCAGACATTACTTATTAGAGGGTGGGTGGCTAAGCTTATAGCTTCTTTAGAAGCTCTTATAAGTTGTTTAATAGCTTATAAGCTCTTAATTTTGTTTGGTAAACTTTTCTAAAAAAATCTTAATCTTAATTATAAAAAAAAATCAATGTTGAAGAGCTCTCTATTTATAAAGAAATGGAGGATAAATTATTTTCAGACTAACTTTTTTGAAAAAATGGAAGAATAATTAGTGTGAAGTAAATTTGGGTCATATATGATTTAACTTCAAATTTCTTAAACAAATAAATATTTAATGCATCATTAAAATCGATTATTATTTAAATATTTTTTATACATTGAGTTCCTCATGGCAAATAATACTAAACAAACATATGCACAATTATGATATAACGTGCAAGTTCAATGGTGTAGTAATTAACATGGGTAGATAAAAATTCAAGGTGAATTTACCACAACTTTAAAATGTAATTTATTTTTTATTCAAAAATTTTACTTCATCTGAAATTTTCAGATTTAAATTATCCAACCCCTGAGGTATGGTTAAATTAGAAAAAATAAAAACCCTCATGTTTGGTTAATTACAAATACCCTTTTAACTATAAACCTTGTCCACCCTTGCGGTGTCAAATTTAGTGAAATTTTCTAGATTATATGAAATATTCTCAATTTTGTATCCCTTTTATCTCAAACTCCACATTTTGAAGCAAGATAATCATAAGATGCGGTGCATAAGAAACTGTATTTTTTGCACATAATGAGAACTAGAGAATATTCCACGGAATTTAAAAGATTATGTTGAATTTGACACCATAAGGTGGACGTAATCATAGTTGATGGGTAACTGTAATTATTCAAACATGAGGGTTTTTTCGTAATTTGACCATACCTCAGGGGGTTGGTTGTAATTTATTATAAATAATAAGTAAAACCCAACATCGGACTTTTTTTTGTATGGTAATACTCTAGATCTGGAGATCTCATCGGCCTTAAAGATCACCTCATTCAAATATATATGTATATATTTTTCCCCCTTTCTGTGTAGCAATTGCTGAGGTTTTTGTGCAAAGATTCAATCTTTATGGGTGGGAAACGACTCAGAATCGATACCAATTTTCAACTCAAGAAGGTAAGCTTTCGACGAAGCTTCTGTCCTTTTCTTTTTAATTTTTATTTTTTTCTCTCAAACCTGTGAAGGATAATATATTTAAAGACCAATTTTTTTTTGCTGTTTTATGGCGTTAAAATCCCTATTTGAGCTGCTTAAACTAGAAATTTATATTTTCTGATATGGTTCATCAGAGTGTTTGATGTTAGGTGTTTTTTCTCCCTTTAGTTTCCGACAAGAGAAAAAAAAAGTCGCTAGCATTGAGAAGTAGGGTTAGTAAGAGTATGTAAAACGATAGTCTTTTAGTACAAGAGTTAGTCAAGGGATATTTAGAAGGATAGGGAGGGTGAATTGGAGCTCCTTTTTATCTGCGTTATCGATTAGTTGTAATCAAGTATTATCTTATTTGATAGCTTTGCTGCTATTATCTTTGTTTGATTGACTTTGTTTGATTGACAGTGTGCAAAGAAACGTGTTGTGGGCGAAGATGATGATCGGATAAGTCAGTTGCCTGACGACATTCTCATTGATATACTCTCTTTCCTATCGATCAATGAAGCAGCACGCACTAGTGTTCTTTCGTCTCGTTGGATCAACTTGTGGAAGCACACCCCCTCCCTCAATTTCGATGCTCTTAGTGCATTGAGAAATAAAATACAAGAGTCCTCGGATTGGCGCAAGTTACTCAAAACTGAGAGACGCAACTATAGGAGATGGGTAAACTCTGTTCTCCGATCACACAAATCTACCACCTTAAAAGAATTCATAATCCGTTTCGATTTGAACAATTCGTACAAGAGCTCAATCGCTCGATGGCTTGATTTCGCGTTTGCCAGACAAGTTCAGACGTTAGAGTTGGACCTTGGTATTTATAGCAATTGTCTTTTCTCAGGAGAGTTTCTTTACGACCGAAGAAGTGTCGGAGCACCTAAAAGCATGGTTGTTGGATTTAAGTCCCTCAAATCATTAACTCTCAGATATATTGATATGACTGGTGGAGATATCGAGTGCATTTTACATAATTGCCCCTTACTCGAACAATTGGTTGTCCATGGAGCCCAAAGAATGTCAAATCTCGAAGTTTGTGGCTCATCGCTCGTGTTGAAACACTTGAAGATTGTCAATTGCTACGATTTTATATCCCTTAAAGTTTCGGCGCCGAGGCTTACTTCACTTACGGTTAAGATGTTTGAGGAACTCTTGCTCGAGCATGTTCCAATGCTAACTGAGGTGTCTCTTCGTTGCGATTCATGCAGTATTTCTATCAAACGTGTGTTCTCCCAACTGTCTTGCTGCATTTCGCAACTGAAGGTTCTTTGCTTGCAGCTGATATGCTTACAGGTTATACAACACATCTATAGCTGCTATTCACATTTCTCTCTCGTTTGATTTTGTACGTATTCTTAATTGTTCTCCTTATTTGTTGTGGTTGATGTTTAACAGTATAGTATTGAACAACCAATCGAGCTTTGCGAGTTCCCTGAAATGCCTAAATTGAATAAGTTAGTCATCAAATGTTGTGCAACAGGTGATGAAAGCCTTGTTAGATTGACTGCGTTCATGAGGGCATTTCCTTACTTGGAGGAATTTGTCTTAAAGGTAGGATCTTTTCTTTTTATTATAAGCAACATAAATGCCACCTCCTACATTTTTTATTATTTATGCTACATGTTCTTGTTATATGCTTTGTTCTTGTTATATGCTTCTGGCAAAAATAATTAGAGAATAGAATGACAATATACGCTTCACTCCTGGCTTTAAAGGAAAAATCTTTCATCTCGTTTAAAATTAGCGGCAATGGATTCTTACGTTTTTCTCCCCATGTGCAGTACGAATGGTATAGACTTCCGAGGGAAGATAAAGTAATGAAGGATGCTATAGTACGGTCTCCCCACAATCACCTTAAAGTATTCAAGTTTTGTGGCTATTATGGCCGAACCATTGATGCTGAATTACTTAGCTACATTTTGGAGAAGTGCGTTGTGCTTGAAAAAATAATAATTGATCCATCCGGTGCAATATCCCCTGACACTGACGAATTAGATGTGGAACATACTGCGAGGAAGAACGCAAAGGAACATATTGAACCACATGTACCTCACCACGTTCAATTGGTTGTTCTTTAAACCCACTTTAGGCTTTTGCATTATCAAATTATGTGTTTTAGTGTGTATTCATGAGTTTAAACCGATAAGTTCTTCTCTTATTTGATTATGCAAGCACTTGTTGTAATCTATCTTTCTCACCAATATTGTAAATATGGTGAACATGTCAGGCAGTCATGCTTTATGATATTTGTGATAATATCTATTTATTTTGTGGTCTATTTATCAATAATAGTGGTGTTTATAGCTCGGATCCGATCCTATAATAATGCTTCAACTTGTGTTGTATTCCGATTCGAATGAGTGCAGAGTTTAATTGCAAATTTGCCTATGATACATATAGGATTGTTGTGAAATAGTTTAATATCATCTTATGGATTATATATTAAAACACTTGAATTGTGCTGAATCCAAAATCAATTTCAGCTAAGATTCGCAAGATAATGTTGGATATCTCCCTTAAGTTATTAATTTGGGGCTCTTTGAGAAAACCCCCTCACTATTTTTTTTAATTGAGGGAGACCCAAAATATTTTAGACCATTTGAGAAAAGCCCATGATCCAATTCAGCCATTGTGTTTCCCAGTTTTACCCCCGTCCGCCACCTCATCACAACTGGGTCACGCGCTCCAGCGATTTTTTTTTTTTTTTTTTTTTTTCCGTTTTTTTAATCGACTATGAAGCATAGTCGATTAAGCCTTAATCGACTATGGCATAGTCGATTAAGCCTTTGTGCTTCATAGTCGATTAAGGAAATTCTTTATTTTTTAACTTTTTTTTTTTTCTAATTTTTTTTTTTTTTTTTATTTTTTTTTTTAATTTTTTACTCTATCAGGTTCATTAATGGATAGTCGATTAAACATTTAACTACTAAAAATAACAAATCACAATTACAAAAAAAATACAAAAACAATTATATTTTAAAAAAAATACAAACATTGTAATTGATTTATACATTGTAATCAATAAACAAAAAATCAAAAAAAAAACAAAATAACAACTAGAGTCGGTTAACCTTAATCGACTACTGAACATAGTCGATTAAGCCTTAATCGACTATTGAACATAGTCGATTAAGCCTTAAATCGGCTACTGAACATAGTCGAATAAGCCTTAATGCTCTTCTGCCACGCTCCCACCAACCCAACATCCAAAAAACGCCGCCATAACCATCACTACCACACACACATACGCCACCGCCAGCAGACCCATCGCAATCTTCCACCCAAAACCGCCGCCGCCAGAAGACCCATCGCAATCCTCCACCCAAAACCGCCGCCACCAACAGACCCATCGCAATCCTCCACTCAAAACCGCCGCCACAACCATCATTACCATCACCATCCACGCACACATACGCCGTCGTTTTTGCACTGCTTCAAGCTTCCCCTGGCTCGTTTTCTTCCCCTCTCGATGTGGAACCTAGTCGGGCACTCGACACAGGAACACTCTCCTATTATAAAGGCATCAACTCGATCGTAAGGAATAAGCGCCACATCATCACATCGCTCGGCGGTTCCAAACTTGACCCACTCCAAATCGGCTGAAGAGAAATCTTCACCGGGCGGATCCTGCACTTGCAGATTATCGATGGATTCGATTATTTCCATCTGCTTCGATTTTTTAAACCTCTTAATTGAAGCTTATGCTACTTACAACAGAGCATACCTGCAGAAAAAAATCGACAAATTAAATAAGCAAGAACAAGTCTAACATTTATATAAGCTTCATCATATCACAACCAACCTATTTATTTCTCTTAACGCACATCAATTATTAAAAAAAAATACACAAAAACACCAATTTGTGTATTTATACCCGAATTCAATAACAGAAACAACATAAAAAAATACAGAAACAAAATTACAGCATGTTTTATACAAAATTCGAATCACCAAAGGGCAAATTGAAAAGCACCAATTAGTTGTGAATGGGTTTTTATTTGGAGAAATGACAGAGAACTTACAGCTCGACTCCATGGAAAACACGTGCTCAAAAACAGTAGAGAGAGAAAGAAAGAGGGGTTTTTGAGGGGCAGAGATTTCTTGACGGTAGCAGACCCATCGCAATTTATGATCGGCGGTGGTGGGGGAGGCTGCTTCGTCAGCGGCGGCAGGGGCTGGAGGTCGGGGCTGGGTCTGTAACGGCGCCGCTGAAATGCATCCGTCTCCGACGATGTTTGCGCCGTCCGATGCATCGCTCTCCAAAACCGCCGCCGCCAGCAGACCCATCGCAATCTTCCACCCAAACCGCCGCCGCCAGCAGACCCATCGCAATCCTCCACCCAAAACCGCCACCACCAACAGACCCATCGCAACACCGGCGACGGCGATGGATTCCTCACTCCAGCAGCTGACGCGTGCGCGGGGACGACGACGGCGGCGGCGGCGGCGGAATCCTCCTTACTCTCCTGTTGAGCTTTCTCCTGTTGAGATTTCTCGCTATTTGTGTGTGTGTGTGTGTTTTTATGTGTGCGCGAGAAAGAGGAGAGAGAGAAAGAGAGAGAGAAGAGATAAGAGTGAGAAAGGGTGGTTTGGGAATTATTAAATAATATTTGGGTAGAATATTAGGTAAGGGGGTTTTTTCTAATTATTTTTGGGAGGGGGGTTTTTTCTTAACTCATTTACCTAGATGAGGGGGGTATTGCTAATTATCCCTATTAATTTTCCCTCGAAATATGCTAGTTGGCCAGATTACTAGTTGGCCAGATTACTGTAATTTTATGTTTCTCTCTACAGTTATTATTAGGATTTCTAAGTTTCAAATTTCAATTCATTTCTCGTGCAAGATTATGACATATTAACGGACATCAGATATGTATGTAATCCCAAATCCCAATAACGTAAAGATTCATCAATATTCATTCTTAATCATATATATATTATAGTATACTAAACTAATAACAAATTATTATTTTATTGATATTATATAAATAACTCTTCAAATTTAAATCAAATAAATAAATTATAACAAATAGTTGATTTTGTTTTGATTCAAACTCTACTGCTTTTAATTTATTTATTTGATATACCTTAATTTTATATCCCCAGTATACTAAATAATAACAAATTATTATTTTATTGATATTATATAAATAACTCTTCAAATTTAAATCAAAGAAATAAATTATAACAAATAGTTGATTTTGTTTTGATTCAAACTCTACTGCTTTTAATTTATTTATTTGATATACCTTAATTATATATTATTATTATTATTATTATTATTATTATTATTATTATTATTATTATTATAGAATATAATAGTAGTGATAATAATAATAATAATAATAATAATAATAATAATAATAATAATAATAATAATAATAATAATAATAATTAATAATTAGCAAGAGAAATGAAAGGTCAACCATTCACATTTATTATCCAACCATCCCATTAAGTGCTAAACTTGGAGCATGAAGGATATAAATGGTATAAAGTATAAATAAAAAATATAACGAATAAAAAAATTAAATTCTGGCCTGCTCGAATGTCAAGAACAAAAACTTTTATTTGGGATTCGCCAGGATGTGATAACCGGAGAAGCGATTCAGCTAGCATCTTTTATTTCTACTCAAATGTGATATAGAATTTTTTTTTTTAATTGTGATGATGCTAAAATGTAGATCACCGAGGGTATTGTAGAAAATGAGCTGAGAGAGCAAAGCGGATCAGTAGCTTGACAACTTGATGATTCTGAGGTCCCTGCGAAATGAACACACGTAAACTATGCCGGGAGTTGATCCAGCGGAAACCCCTCCGACGCTCAAGTCAGATGTACGGATCGTGGAGATGGTAGAGAGAATTAAGCTCTAGATTGTTGTTGAATAATGAAAGCGTACCTTTACGAATGAGTAAAACATCTATTTATATATCGTTGATTGAGTCGGGCTTACTTTGTTGGGCCGAAGCCTTGCTTTGAAGGTGCTCGGGCTTTCGTGAATTGGGCTCAATTGTAATAGATTGGGTTTTTGTGTATTGGGCCTAGTTATTAGATAATTTATGGCCCATTAGGTCGGGCCAATTAGGTATATCAAATTGTTATTTGGATTTTTAATATTTGGGCCCACAAAAAATAAAGAGGGAAATAACCATTTTTTAGAAAAACTTTGAATTTAAAGCATTATTGACTACAATGATTCTAATATTTTTATTTTTGATATATATATATATATATATATATATATATATATAT